ATTAGAATGCTTTAGCTCTATTCATCCCCTGCTGGTTTATGTATTATTGTTTCCATGTATTTTATTTAACTTTATTTAATTATATTTAACTTTACTGACATGTCTATCATTCTTCCTTGCATCTCAGACCTTCTGATGGGTTCACTTTCCTTTTCTGGAAGTACTTCTTTTATTTTTTTTATTTTATTTTTTTTCAAGATTTTATTTATTCATGAGAGCCAGAGGGAGAGAGAGAGAGAGAAGCAGAGGGAGAAGCAGGCTCCCAAGGAGCAGGGAGCCCGATGTGGGACTCGATCCCAGGACCCCGGGATCACGACCTGAGCCGAAGGCAGATGCTTAACCATCTGAGCCACCCAGGCGCCCGAGGAAGTACTTCTTTTAGAACAGAGGTGCTCACAGTGGTGCATAGGCCCTCAGGATACCCAGCTTTTCGATAGTTTGTTTGTCAAAGTGGATAGTGATGAAATAGGAAGCGTTAATAAAACACTTTCTCTCCATACCAAAATATGTTAGTTGTCTTGAGGAAAAGTATTTGTGTGATTATTTAAGTTGCAAGCTCAACTAGCAGCTTTTCTCAAGATAACCATTTTTACTTGAAAGAGCAACTGACAAACAATGGTTATCCAGACTTGGATATTTAGCCAACATTTCCCCAAAAATGAACAAAGGAAGCCTTTTACTTCATGGAAAATACCTGTGAATGTTTGTTATAAATGATAAAATGGCAACTTTTAAGTAAAAATTAGAGTCTTGGGAAACATAAGTTGACAGCTCCTCAGTACTCCAAGACATTTTTGATGAGATGATGTTAACACCAACAAATGTGATATTTTAATACTGTGTAATGAAATGTGTAAATATTTGGAAGATATGCATAATTCAGTGAACCAATATTACAAACCAGTGCATGATGTTATAAAACCATGTGTGGGTAAAATAACTATTCAAAGTGCTAGCAGTTCAATGAATTTTAATGTAACAAAATATGAAAAGCTTACCAATATGGTTTCAGATTGTACATAGCAACTAACTGAAGAAACTATCACTCATTGCATTTGGGTGCAGTATTGAAGAATTTACACAATTACCTGTAAAGACCATTAACACACTCCTCCCCTCTCCAATTACATATGCATACATTAATGAGATTTTCAAAAGTATGAAGCTAGTGTTAGTCTTCTTCCGAATTGATTTTTAAAAAGTGATATCTGTTAACATGTAATGGGTTTATTATTCTGACTTTTAAATGAATTACTAAGTAAGTATATTTTAAATTCTCAGTTTTGATTTTTAATATGGCAAATATTGACAGATACATGCACATAAGCAAAAGTTCTTTGGGTTTTTCAGTCATTTTTAAGAATGTGAAGTAGTCACAAAGACCAAAACATTTGAGAATTGCTACTTTAGAATTTCTTTTAATAAAGATCCACTGTTGGCAAGTCCTTAGATTTTGCTTGCCTGAAAATGTCTTTATTTCATCCTTATTCTTGAGAGATGTTTTCAAAGAGAAAATGGATTTTTCCTCAGCACTTGGAAGATGTTATTCCACTGTCTTCCAGTTTCATCGTTGCCGTGGAGAAGTCAGCTGCCATCGGTTTCTTTGAAAGTAATGTTCTTTTTCCCCTCTGGCCACTTTTCAGACTTTCCTCTTGGTGATGTTTTGTAGTTTCACTCTCATGTGTCCAGGTGCAGATTTCTCTTTCTTTATTTTGCCTGGGACTTGTTGGGCTGCATAAGTCTGCAGATTGGTACCTGCCATCAGTTCCATAAAAGTCCTCAGATATTCTTGTTAACATTTGCCCTCTGCACCATTCTTTCTCGAATTATGATTAAACGTGTCGTAATTATTAAACATGTCGTAATTTATTGTATTCTCTCCTTGCCCCTCCAAGCTATATTCTAGATCATGTCTTCTGTCTTCTTACAGAGTTTATAGTTCTCTCGTTCTGCTGAGAGTAAATTTGTTGCTGTATTTTTCATTTCTAGGTCGGTTCGTTTCTTTTCAAATCTGCTAGATCACTCTTTATAACTTTCTCTTACCTGCAGGTAATGTCATGCTTTGCCTTTTATTTTTTTTTTGAATGTTGTAGGCTACAACTACATGTAGTTGCTACACAGTTGATAATTCTAGTCTCTGTGGTCTTTACAGGTCCCTTTATTCTGTCTCTTATCTTCTGGTTCTCCCTGATGCTATCTCTTATGTTTGGTTTTCTTTGATTCTGTGCTTTTTTTTTTTCTTAATAACTATCTACACTAATAATATAAGGTTTAAGGCCTAGATTTCAAGTCATTTCCTCTCAAGATGATTAGTGCTGGGTACCTACACACATTACAAGTCCGGAGTACTTTTTAATACAGTGTCCCGGACAAGCAGAGCTAAGAATCCACAAGGCTCTGATTCATTCTTCCTTAATCAGTATAACCTGCTGGGAGTTTTTAATGTGGGATGGGAGTTCTATTAGACTTTCCACTTTGGCAGGCCTGGGCTTTGAAACCTGTCGTCTTTATCAAAACCAAAGATCAGATTTGCGGTATGCACACACACCCTCAGGGCGAAACATCTGTGTTCAACTTACCTCTCTGGGTTCCTGCTTTTCCTTTAGTTTTGATTCCAGCACCTATATTTCAAACCATTATGGGAAATTGCCTCCAAAAATAGTGTGTAACATTTTAGTCTAACCATGAAAATAAGGAGTGCTTGCACTGCAGATATAAATACGCCCATAGTAAGGTCTTTGAACTCCCACCTTATATGTAGGGCAAAACTCACTCAGTAAGCAGTGAGAGAGACAGCATAGTGTAGTTGTTAGGGTCACAGGTTCTGAAATCAGACTGCTGGGGTTTAAATCCTGGCTCTGCCTCATAGTAGCCTATGAATTTGTACAGGGTACATAATCTGTGCCTTGGTTCATGAAAGGACAATAATCAGAGTTTTTAACCTCATTTGGTGGTTGTGAGGATCAAGTGAGTAAGGCAAGTAAACATTTAGCACGGTGCCTGCCATGAAGTTGGCTTTCAAGTGCTGAGAACAGTTGGGTACTTAGTAAGTGTTCAATAAATATTTACTATGAATTGTATCAAGGCTGATACAAACAGCCTCTGTTAAATTTTCTCAGTCTTCGGCCACATTCAAGTTAGGAGGGCAGTCACACTTGGATGAAACAAATGGAAAGCAATTAGACGGCATTATTTGCTTACATCCTGGAATTTTTAAAGTAATTTAATGTTGTATAAACTTCCAATGAGAGTAGCAAAGAACCAGTGCTTTTTCATGGAGGTGCTTTCTAAACTCTAAGCCTTTAAGAAGGTAGAAAGATACCAGCCGATAACAGTGATGCCAGGCGTTACCATGAGCTACAGGCATCAGTATAATGCTGGTGCTCACACTTTACATTTAATGTTTTCTGACACGTTTCTGTATATCCAGGTTCTCACTGTAACTCTCAGAAGCAGCTGTCTCTATTTATACTTTGTTGATCAGCAAGGCAGGGCTTGGAAAGTTTAGTGTGGGATAGTAGAAAGAGATGAGTTGGTGCAGTCATTTTAGGGAATAGATTGGGATTCCTGGTAAAGATGAGCATGTGCTTGCCCTGCGACCCAGCAACTTTATTCCTGGGAATATAGGCTGGGGAAATTCTTGAACGTGTTTCCATGTCAACATGTAACATTTACAAGATAGTGTATTTTACCCTCAGTAGGGCAGTCGGGCACAAACCTTTTGACTTATTCATACCATGGAATTACTATATAGCAATTCAGGTGAATGCTACAGATCTATATGTATCAACATGGATAAATCAGGAGACCTAAAACTAAGTGGGCAACTGTAGGTAGACAAGTAAGTTCTGGAGATCTAATGCAGAGCATAGAGATTATAGTCAACATTACTGCATTATAAACTTCCAAGTTGCTAAGAGAGTAGATCATAAATGTTCTCAACACCAAAAAGAAATAATTATGTGACATGATAAAGGTATTTGCTGACCCTACCCTAATAATCATATTATTACTGTACTGTAATAATCACTGCAATATACAAATTATCAAAGCAGTGCATTGTACACCACAAATGTACACAGGTTATAGGGCAACTATATCTCAATTAAAAAAAAAAAAAAAAACTAAGGAAAGCTAGTTGCCAAGCATAGATATAGTGCAATATTATATTGTTTATATAGTTAGAAAACATAAAACAGTGATACAGTATATATATTGTTTGTGGGTATCTACAAAGAGCATACCTGGGGCTTGAGGACAGTGGTTCCTTGCAGAGGAGGAAGGGAGATCAGAAGGGAATGTGGCAAAGGGCACATATCTGTGTATCTCTGTTTCCTAAGCTGTCTGGGATACTGCCTTCTCTCTGCTCAAAATTATATATAATATATAACTTTTTTCTTTCACATAAGGAATCTTTTTTAAAAAATGAAAATTTGGAATCGAGTAGACCTTCATTCAAAGCCTGCCACCCATGTAGCCCCATTCCGTTCTCTAATCCTGTTTCCTCATCTATGAAATGGGATCATGGACATTTTTTTGAAGTTGCTGTGAGGACTGGATGAGGTGATACATGTAAAGTGCCCAGGATGATACCTACCTTGGTACAGGTGCTCAGGCACAGTATTTTGAACTGACTTTCCCGAGCTCACAGGACTGGCCTGTGGCAGATCGAGGGTTTGAGCTCGAGTCTGCAACTGCATGAGTTCTGGGGGTGCCCACTGCTCCTGGAGACCCCCGGGCTGCAAATGGCAGGAAGGAAGCCTCAGCTGCTCTTGCCCCCCCCAGGGGCACGCCCCTCTCTCCTGCTACTAACCCTTCTCCCCAGGCCTGACTCTGACCAAGTTGAGACGGGAATGGGTGGGGAGCCTCGCTATCCCCGGATGCTCACTTAGAAGTGTTTTGCTCCTAGAAGAAGAAAGTTATTTTTGTGATAATGTTTTCAGTGCCTGATTTGACTCCACTACCCTGTTGTGACTTCTCCTTTTCTCTCTTGTTGACAGCGTCATCAGCAAAGTGGTCCCAGCCCCGGAAGCTAAGCCGGCCCCTTCTCTGAGTAGACCGAAGACCCCGCCGCCTGCTGCAGTCCCCGCCCCTGTCCCCGTGCATGTCACCCCCGCCCCGGTGCCTTCGCCGCTCCTCACGCAATCCACCGCGGCCCCGGCTTTGATGCCGGCCCCGTCCCCAGCCATCTCTGGAGCCGGAACGTCCAAAGCCCCGGTCCGAAGTGTGGTCACGGAGACCGTCAGCACTTACGTGGTACGCTGCCTTTTATTTCTGTAGTAGTTAAGGAAGAGCCACCTAGGAGCTGACTCTTCCACCGTGAAAATGTTTTCAATTAAAAAGCAGTGCCTCATGTCATTATGGAATTTCAGAGGCAATTCTTTATGACTAGAAAGATATTTCCACCGTGTTTTCAAGCTTTCGGCTATAGAGTGTTGTTTAAGGTGCTTGCACATTTAGTCTCCATAAATAATATCAAAGCATTGTTTTTCTTTAGCTTATATTGTTTTATACGTATATGCAACAATGTCAGTGAAGAAATGGATGAATAGTGATATTTAAATCCCACATTGAATTTCTTGATCAAGGTATTAAACTTTCACTTAAGAGTCTAAGTTACGTCATGTGCACAGATCTTATGGGCCAGATGCTATTTCTGGGTAACATCGCTAATTACAGTCTTTCATTGGCAAAGGTCTGGAATATACCAGGGCTTGCATGTTAAGGAAATGAGCTCGAGTATGGAAGCACATCTTCAGATGGTAAAGCTCAGCTTGTTGAATGAATTCACACTATTGTCACAGGACCGTTTTCAGGTGTTTTCCCGTGCTGAGTAGTATCAGGTCTTATTCAAACCCTGAAGTCAGTCTAGTAATGACGTGTTTTTATAAATATGTCCCTTGCACACTGTGGAGTGACATACACACAACAGAAAGATTTTAGGCGCATGGAGGCACTCTATGTACCATACTGCTCTGACCACCAAATGTGTAAACTGTCATCTATCAGCCTCCTGGTGGCACAGACCTGTCTGAATAGATAGGATTGGAAAGTAGGACTCATGATGGTCGTTATAAATCAGGTAAATATTATATCTCTTTAAGGCATTTTAGAAGGAAATTTCAATAAATCATTATATGTTTAAGGTACTATAATGATATAAAGGATAAGAAAATCTCAAAAGTATTGAGAGAGGATATAAAGACATGTAAAATTAACAGAAAAATATTCAAGACCAAAATAGAAGATGTGATAAAATCTGTGATCACCAGGGTGCCTGGATGGCTCAGGCGGTTAAGCATCTGACTCTTGGTTTCAGCTCAGGTCATGATCTCAGGGTCGTGAGATGGAGCCCTGCTCAGGCTCTGTGCTCCGTGTGAGGTCAGCTTAAGATTCTCTCTCTCCCTCTGCCCCTCTCTGCTCATGCTCACTCTCTCTCTCAAAATAAATAAATATGGCCCATTCAAGGACCAGTTGTTCCAGGTGTTTAAATTGAGGTCATATCACCCCAAGATGGGTTGGTTGATCAGGAAAGATTTTATATTTAACCTCTTCTGCCTCCATTGCTTCATCTGTAATTAAGGGGGTTCATGTCAGACTAGATGATCAATACAGTGTGTTCTAGCCTAAAATTTCTGATTCTCAAGTGGGTTTTTGGGCTAACTCCCTGGATCTGACTGGCATAGGCAACATGGATGGAAAGCCTTATATCTCCTCAGAGACACTTTGTAGACAGGGACCAAAATGTGTGATCTGGGGAAAAACATGGGCTATCGGGCAAAAATGTCACTGCCTAATAGTGGGACTTTGCTACTGTCACTTACGTTCCCCCAGCTCCAGTTTCCCCGTTCGTCACCCATCCAAGGGTTGTTTCAGGATGAGTAAACAAAGTAAGATGTTTGGAAGAACTCAGTACACTGGTTGGATGTTAGTTATTAAGGATGCTATGGCCAATTTCTGATGTAGCAACAGAATCATGGCCTTCTCATTTCAAGAGAGGTCAACCAGCAGCCCGGCTGGCCATGCATGGCCGCTCCAGGGCATAGGACGCTGGACCGGTCTTAACCCCTAGAGAGCTGGCACCTGGATCTCTGCCCTTAGACGTAGAGAGGCCTAAATCAGAGCTGTAGCGCCCCAGGTTTCTTCGGGAAGCTTTCGTGTCAGTGGAATGAAGCATCTGTGTCCGCAGTACGCCCATCACACACGAAGAGAGCCATTCTTTTCTGAATATCTGGTCAGTGTTGTATTTGAAAGTATAGGAACCGACTGTACCTTGCAAAATAAACTGAATGAGACTATTTGTCGTGTTACTGTAAAAACCTTTGAAAATCAGCTCGTAGTCGCTGCTGTTTTTTGAAGGCCCGTCATAGATTTATTTCTTCCAAATTGGTTTGGTTAACATGGTATTTGGGGATGCTTCTGATTTGGAGCTGCTAAGTTAAGGAAAGCAAACTCCAGAGCACAACACAGTTACAGCAAAATGATGTTAAAACGTGTAGCTCATTGGCCTCCTGCACCCCTTATTTTATTTGCCCTTTACTTGATTGTGCTTTACTGAAAATGTCATAAAGGGAATGGAAAGTTACTTAGTAACAGCTCTTTTATATCCTTGATCTTATCAGCTAGTTCAGGAGAAGGGCTTGGCTAATAAGTAATAAGGTGAGGCACGCACACTGGGCTGCATACATTAATTCCACGCCCGTGGATGTGACTGAGGAGGCTGCATATGGTCGAGCTCCATGGCTTGCACAAATACCAGCCTTCACTGCCATGATGACCAGAATCAGTACCAACCCACGTGTTTACAGTAGTTTTTAGATCATAGTGGCTACAGGTCATATCATTCGTAGAACTGGTTATAAAATGCTTAGTTTTTATGACTTACAAAAGAGAGCTGAAAATATTCATTACAAATGTCTTCTCACTGAGTACCTAGTAACTCTCTCTTTTTCACCCAATCCCAGGGTAGTGATGATGGCGATCATGACTTCAATAAATTGTTAAACCACCAGCTCTCTTTTTAGTTTAACTTGTTTATGAGGTTCGCGGGAGAAAATGATAAAGTAATCACTCTTTTTGGTTCTTGTTTCCCATTCTGTCTCTGTTTTTACCCCACCCCACCCCATTCCCCCATCTAAAAACCTCAGATCCGAGATGAGTGGGGGAATCAGATCTGGATCTGTCCCGGATGCAACAAGCCCGATGACGGGAGTCCCATGATCGGTTGTGACGACTGTGACGACTGGTATCACTGGTGAGCGCTGCAGGCCGGGCCAGCCGCGAGGGGGGCTCCTCGGGGCACAGCGGTGACCGCGGTCTGTCCTGGACACGACTGTCCAATTCCACGACTGTCCTAGGAGCAGTGTAGGGAGCAAAATCACAGTCAGATTAACATGTGATTAGGGTTAATGCCAAAAATCAAGAATCTTAGGACTGTTGTTCTTCAACCTAAATTCCAAATATTTGGCCTAGCCTATATATCCTTCTTATTAAAAAAAAAAGGAGAGAGAGAGAGAAAGAGACAAAGGGTTTCCCTTTCCTTTTTTTCCAGTAACTTTCTGTAAGCTGCAGCACTTGACGGTAGCATGGAGGGAACCCCTTGCTAAGCACATCACAAGGCGCAGGAAGAGACGGCTGGTGCACTCTTCATAGCTCTCCCAACTGCGCCCCCGAACTGAAGGAACACCGCCAGAGTTTATGCAAATAATCTCCTCATTTTATAGTTTAAAAATCAGATCTAAAAAGATAGAAATCCATTCGGTCACACGATATAGCCAGGCCACTGCTCGGAAGAACTAGCCCGTTGTGGCTGAAAGGAGGAATGACTGCTAACTCCCACAGCAGGGCGTCCGAAAGGGCCGCCGCGAAATCCAGTAACGCATGGGTCCAGCAGCGCCGCTGTCTGTGCTACAGCTCTTCAGCCTGGACTCCGCGAAACGGGCTGCAGACTTAGAAATTATTTAATTATATACGTAAATATTTACATAAATTAAGCTGGTTTATCCAAAATCTTTTTTTGTTTGTTTACACCCGTGTAGGCCCTGTGTTGGAATAATGGCTGCACCACCGGAAGAAATGCAGTGGTTCTGTCCCAAGTGTGCCAACAAGAAGAAGGATAAAAAGCACAAAAAGCGAAAGCACCGGGCCCACTGACGTGTCACGCGGCGTGGATGAGTGGCATCGCCTCGGAGGGGAGTTGGGGCAATGCTGGCATCCTGTCTAGCACCCACATTCCCGCGGAGAGCGGCTCTCGGAAGCCCATGGACAGGAGCGCACCGTCCACTCTGAATTTGGCCCCTGTGACAGACTGGCCTGTGCCCACGTGGCCGTGTGACTGAAGACAGACTCAAGTCGAGGCGTGGCTCAGGACCGCCACGTCCTTGCTTTTCTATGACCAGTGACAAGTATTATTAATAAAAAGACTGTAATCTTCCCTTCTGATTTTCTTTATTCTCTCCAGGGCCTTTTCGCTAAGGTATTAGATGAGAAGACAATGTGTCAGCCGCCTCGACTGTAACTCCTGGACGCCATTAGTCTGTACAGTTTGCAACTTCTCCCCTCTCTCTAGTAAGATAATCCTAATGACAGAAAAGACACTCCACTTGGAGTACCGGTAAATATTTTTGTGATGAAAATATATGAAGCTTCCCCGCCCCCACCCCACCCCCCATTTTTAGTACTAACATGTAAAATGTTCAGGCTTTTGTGAAATACCTTATATTTTTTAAGAAAAAGGTTTCTATCATGTCCTGTTTGCTTTTGCGCAGATTATTTTTGTTGACTCGCACGTGGTTTCTACGTTCGTGGCATCCTGACTGTGCCCTTCTCCAAACTGCTGGCTTTCTCACGGCTTCTACATTTCACCGACTTGTATAAAATCGCCCCGACTAGAAGATCTCCCTTAATGTAAATAATAAATATTTATGAAGTAGTTATTTTTAAAATTTTTATCGTGTTTAATTCTGGCTTTCTCTGAAATCCACGGTGGTTTCAGCCATGTCTGTAATTAACTGCTGTACATACACGAAGAAGGCTAGAAGCAGAGCCATAGTTCCAAGTAATCTACCTTGAGCTGAGCCCGCGCCGTGCCCCGGACACCATGGGGGAGAGGGCCTTAGCGGTTGGAAGGACAACAAGGCAAATTTAAGTCTGTACTTTATGATTTGAAATTGTTTTGTTAACTCTAAGTTTCTTTGACTTACTTTTACTAAACGGACATGTAGATTCCCCAAAAGTAAAAAAACGAAAACAAAAACAAAAAACAAAAAGAAACCCGAAAAAAACATATATACTGTAGCATTTTGTGTTTATATTGTTTTATTTCTGCAAATCTGTTCATTGAGATTGTGGTTTAAGGCTGAAATGAAGTATATTATGAATTTTTTTTTAAAGAAAACTCATCAAATTTCAGGGTATCACAAAACTTTATTATATTACTATACTGCCCACTATTTATTATATGTTATAGATGTCTGAGAGATAAACCAAATATTTTATTTTTAATGTAAAACATCAAATTTAACTTTATTAGCATATTTTAGCAACTTTGGAATAAATATGGACTTTTACTTGATTTTGAAATAATCCCAATTTGGGCCAGTGTAATGGACATGTTGAATGCTAGAATATGGGCTTTGAACCTAATACAAATATATTAATAGAAATTGTGAATTTTTTTAATGCCAAGTAAATTGATATTAGTGTATGAATTAGTCATATTTTAAAACTTATTATGTGGTTAGAGAAATGAGGTTTTCTGCCATGAATGTTAAATTGCAAATCAGTGGAAATGGAGCCAACCTTTTCAGGGTGCAGTGTTTCACTGCCCTCCGTGTTCTAGAAGCCAAAATGTTTCTCTCCCTACAAAGAAACGAAGCATCTATGTTGAGATATACGGTTTTTTTGTTTTGTTTTGTTTTATTAATTTGAGATCATCCTAAATACTTTATACAGTATTTTCACATGCACAGATCTACCCATTAGTGCTTTTTGGAGAGGGATGGGGGGGTGGGGAAGTGCAAAATAAAGATTATTGGCTATTTCATAGTTTGCTTTTCCATTTTCTTTATTTAGGATTTAGTTCCTTGAGGCACGGTCAGTGGATCTAAAGTTGCCACGTTTAAGTGAGCCGGTCACACTACTGAAATAAGAACGGAGGTGCCTCTATATAACTTTCCCCCCCAATCCTACTGTCGAGAGACTTCAGCCCATAATACATTGAAGGAATTTCAATCAGTTGTTGTCCCTTGCTATTTCATGGTTGCTTTCCTAAATCCAGTTCATGATTTTATAAATGGCCTTTGCAATAATAAAACCAAAGAATCATTTTCAGGGGGCTGGATAGCTCAGGGGATTAGTAATGGAATACAGAGCCTTTCACCTCTAGGTCAGTGAGTTGAATCCAGTGCAGGTCACCAGAGACCCAAAGTTGTTACCATCTTCTGACTGCTCCGTGGCCTGTGCTAACTGGCCTGGTGGTCTCAGCGTCTGCCGGACGGCCGTCCGTGCACCAGCCAAGGGAGCTGCAAGAAACTGCACGGAGAGATGGATTCGAAAATAAAACACCGAGGGCACAGAGCAAAGTGAGAAAGCTGGGCATCGCCATTCTCCATCAAGTCGAATGAAGAACAACAGATGTGTAACTTAGAAGGAGTACAGAGAGTGCGGACGTGACTCGCTTTGCTGAATGAAGTCGAACAAAATCGGCAAAGAGGAGGCCGGCGCCAAACAAGAGGGGAGAGGGACACTTGTTGGGAAAGATGATGTAATCTGGAGAAAAGCTTTAGGGGACTCGAGCCATAAGAAGAAAGCGGGTTCTGACTTTTGGCAGAGAAGAAAAGCCAAAGAGCAGCGACGTGAGGAAGAACTGTGACAGAACTGGGCAACAGGGGACAGAAAGGGCCCGCCTCTTCAGCGGCGGAGGCCTCCCTGTTGTGCACCAGCCCGGCTGTCCCCGCCCGGGCCACCACCACCACCTGCCCTGGGCGGGCCCCGCTTTATAAAGGGACCCACAACATCCCGGCTGGTGATTTTCTTGGAGGAGGTGGAAACAAACTTCTGATGAGATCATCCGCATGCCGAGCCCTAGGTGGCCGGCAAAGTGCGATTCCTGTGTGTGACCGACATGGGGTTCCTCTTCTGAAGGTGTCTGCAGCGAAGTACAGTGAGGATCCTTCTCCTCCGGCTGACTTGTGCTTCCCAATGTCCCAAAGAAAATCAGAGGGTATCAGAGCATTCCGGCTTTGACGGGCTTTTTGCAGAGATAAACCCTAGTGCCTTACTCGACCGTATCACCTAAGTCGTCTTTGTTTCTTTTCAAAAGGACCATGAAACAAAGGCCCACTAACCAAATGAAAGTCTAAAATGAACACTGAGATATGGAAATGTCGCCAGTAAGAATGCTAATGAACGAAGTTCACGAAAGGCATGCTGGCTAAGTTTTCAATACAAACAGTTTTATGGCCAATCTCTTTATATCACAGCAGTTTTCTTTAGAAGGTCTCAGTCTAAAAGTAGATGAGTCCCCCTGACTGAAGGGCGAGACAGATAGTGTTCCGAACGAGGTCTCTCCGCAGTGGGATCAGCCGTTCCTCAAGGAGAGGATTTCTTTGAGAATCTTGCATTAGTCGTAGCTAAAAAGTATAAAGTAACTATTAAGCCATGCGTGAAGGCCAATCGATGACACTGGAAATTAGACCTTTAGATGGACAGCGAAACAGTGCATGCTTAATACCGTTTCAACACAACGTCGGGTTTAGGTGTGAGTTATTAGAACGACTGCAGTTAACTACCTTTTCAACCTGGACAACCCGGTCGTTCGTTTCTTTTGTGGAAGAACAGTTGTAAACACTTCCATCTGTCAGTTCAACGTTTGCTGGGCACCTTTCATGCAGATGGCAAAAACGGGTTAGAGCCAAGTTCAGTTTTTCCCAGGGTCTGGCTTGTGAGGTATGCTAGTTGTTTCTCTTTCTCCAGGCTATAAATAGACACACATACATACACACTAGGTGTTAAAATGTATTTCATCGAATTCTGAGAACCCTCCATGCTGTTCTTCTGCCATTGTTCTATACATAACCTTTTATCCACCCTAGACCACAGGTGGTTTTGATGTTAATAGAGCTTTCCGCTTTGAAATGTTTGTGTTTACAACAAAAGATTTAAAAGCTTAGCAAGTGGTTACATTACCAGAGGAACTAGCAGAGCTGATATTATGTGAACGTACACACACACTCCACAAGATTTAAATGTGTGAGGCTTTCAGAACAGAAGCAGCATCTGGGGCGCCTGGGTGGCTCAGTCAGTTAAGCAGCTGCCTTTGGGCTTAGGTCATGATCTCAGGGTCCTGGGATCGAGCCCCGTGCCGGCTCCCTGCTCAGCGGGGAGCCTGCTTCTCCCTCTCCCTCAAAAAAAAAAAAAAAAAACAGAAGCAGCATCTTTTTGGTACTTTGCCCTAAACAATAATTTCCTATTGTATCCTGGCAACCTAGTCAGTATTTTGGTAAACTTTGGAAGTTTTGTCAGGGTTTTGAGTTTGGTCTTATTTTTGACTAATGGAACATTTAGAATGAGACTATCTTGGGCAAAATGATACAAACCTGAAGAATACCATTGGTACTGTCCGTTAATGAGCTAAGTATTGCCAGGTTAAGTGCTTTGAAGAAAATATTGGTGCTGCTTCCAGTTATCTCATTTAGACCTATCGAAGTACTTATCAGAGGGAGTTCTAATAGTCCAAAAATATTACCAGGTTATTAAAGACTTCATTTACTTGAGAGAGAGCATGATCAGGCTGAGGGGCAGAGGGAAAAGCAGGCTCCCCGCTGAGCAGGGAGCCCGATGCAGGACTTGATCCTGGGACCGCGGGATCATGACCTGAGCCCAAGGCAGCTGCTTAACTGACTGAGCCACCAGGCGCCCCTCCGATTATTTCTTTTGGAATGTTTGTTAAACTTCTTTTGCTAGCTTTTAGAAAGGGAATTCTCTGTAAATGGATTTCTCAATAACCCAATTCCTCACCTTTCCTCTCTTTTAATTTTGGCGTACCTATTTGCAACATTCACAAAAACAAACAATAGGCCCAGGATGTCTTACACTTAGCCGTACCCTAACACTTTTCAAAAAAATCTTCACCCGTCCTCTCTCTGGGCAGGCACATCATGCATGGGGGTGCAGAGGTGAAATGAGACATGTCCCCAGTGCTGTAGAGTGCTGTCCCCAGCAATCACATTGGAAACGTGTTCTGCACGTCACAAAGGATCCCAGCCGGAAGTTCACGGTAAGATGACCAGTCCTGGTGCTGTTTGACCGACTCTGTCCCCATCGAGATGCTTATGGTGTGTCTGATGAGCTTCACGCATTAAACTGATGCTTTCTGCTTTGCACATCTTCTCTTCAAATTGTGTTCAGATTTT